AAATGCCGGTGTTGCCATCTTTCGTTGTCGCATTCGATGCTTAATTTTAAAAATGAATTAAAAAAATCATGACTTATTGATTTTCAAAATTTAAAGTGAAATAAAATATATTACTTCTCCATTCGCAAAAGATATTCCTTTTCCAAAGAACTTTTTTATTGGATGATCATCTGGTGCCTCTATCTTTGGAAGAACTTCATCTAAAACATAATAAATAATTATTTTAAGAAATTCATTATAATTTCAGGTTTATAATAACAATAGCATACCGTTCTCAGCGAAAAATGCTTTGGCATACTCCATATTAGTTATCAAAACAGACCATCTTGAGTTAAGGAAAATCTAAAGAGGCAAAAGAAACATTAAATTTTGAAAGCATCCAAATGAAAATGATTATAAAGGATGATTCTACTGACTTTCACTAAACCAATTTTCTCTGGATCTGAATCATAAATAACGCGTTGAATTTCATGTTGTTCTTTATAGAACCACACAGCAAATAAAAATTTAAATAAAGATACAGTTGGAATAAGTTCTAATTCTTTAGGAGGTCTACAGGCTTTACCGATATAACAGAACAAAAAAATTAAAATCACAATAGGGATTAAATAAACGTAAAAATCCATTTTGTTAAAATCAAAAAATATAAATATGCCTTTATTACTGTTATCCTCTTCTTATAAGAGTCTTTAAGACGAAGATCGATCATTTGTTTAATAAAAAGTGCACAGGGTATCCTTTAAAGGAAAAAAGACCGATCATAACCACTATATAGATCATAGAACCATTGATAGTACTGTAACTTATTTTCACCGATCAAATTTCTCTCATAACCCGCTGATTTACGTGCAGGTTTGTACTGTATGTTTGTATATAAAGCTCGAAAGGTATCAGTACACGATATACTTTGGCTTGTGGATCATTACCACCCAACTTTTTATTCTTGATTTTTTTTTTATTTGTTTTAGTTTAGTCGATTTCTATATTTTATTTAATAAGAATAGAATGAAATCATACAAATTTGGACCGGCATAGATAGGGATAATGTTATGGCCCGAGGAGAGTTAAACAACCTATAACAGCATAATTAACTTTATTTCGTTTAGAAAGGATATTCAGATGTGCAAAAAAAGGGGGTAACTAATAGAACATGAGAAAACTTTATGACGATCAGGTTACAACTTTTATCCTGCTTACAGCATAAAATTTAGAATGTCGCAATTCGAAGGCAACTTTGGACGCTGTAGAATCGAATTAGCATTTTATCGTTAGACCTTCACAAATGTAATTTGTGTTAATAAAACTTTATCCCTTAAACCGTTTGAAATTCAGGGCAAATTTGCCCTGAAATTTTCCGAAATTCACTTATATTACAACTGCGCA